CCCTATGTTGTAAGCTTGAAAGCATGTTGCAACATGACCTATTTGATAATTTGAGAATTATACTTATTTTCGTAACAATTACATATCATAATTCGTTTTAATAATAATAGTTATATATATAATTATTTATAATTTCTATGTTGTAAGCTCGAAAGCATGTTGCAATTATTTTCTCGATAAAATGTATTATTAAAAGACTGCTTTATATTATATATATTATATAATATTATAATACATATTAGAATTATTATAACAACTATTATTATTAAAACGAATTACGATATGTAATTGTTACGAAAATAAATACAATTCTCAAATTATCAAATAGGTCACTTGGTGATCCGCGGTTCATAGCTTTTGCCAGCAATTGTTTCAGAAATGTTGCGAAATCGACGGCAAGAATTCTTTCCTCATCGGGGGAGAGTACTCGCAGAGAGAGAGAGAGTTTCTCACGGGGTTGGAAGCTCGTCACCCCCCGCAAGCCCTCTCCTCCTTGGCTTTCGGTTATTAATGGTTTTCGCGAAACTCGGTTCATTAAGGAGCTCGCGAAACTCCGCGGCGCATTCACCAGAAAGCCGCCCCGGTTGCGAACGCGTCAAGAACCGTGGTCGTGCCGGAGATTAGCAACGTATATTATTTTCTAGAACAGTGACGCAATTTTCTCTCTCTCTATCTCTCTCTCTCTCGCTCTCCGAATTCTCGAAACTCCGCCTTGCAGCCGACCGAAAAAGCTGCCGTTCGATAGACCGGAATTTTTGACGGGCCGCGGAACAAAGCTCGGCCGGCTCCTAGAGATAACAATTATCCTTGACCCGTTCGCGAATCACGACGCTCCCAAGCGCCGTATCAATTTCCCCCCCTCTCTCGTGGGCAGCTTTTTACCGGCCGCTAGAATTACACGCGCTATTATCGCAAAAAAGCTCCGGCCAGATAAGAAGCGGGATCCGCGCGCGAGCAATCCGCCGCTCGCGGAAAGTAAGAGATGAAGACATTATCGTGATCGTTGGCCGCGCGTTTAAGACTCGCAAGAACGCAAAGAAGACGCGGACGGACGGCGAGCGAGAGAGAGAACGGTGGGGGAGAGGAGAGAGAGAGGGAGCAGGACGCACCTGTCCATTGGTGCGCTAACAAGGGACGTCGCCCGAGTGCGTGGAATCGAAAC